CTTCTCTTGCACACTGTCTCTCTTTCAAGCGCCTCCCCTTCGTCTGCCTTTCCCCTATGGCGGTTTCATTCAAAAATAAGCTACTGGGTCCTCTGGGGACTAACTGGATGGTGGCGACGGCAGTAGCAGCAGCAGAAAGCAGTCTGCAGCTATTGGCTGAACGGAGTAATAGTCCCTATGTAGTTTTCTGCTCTCTATACGTTCGCGCTTTCTCCCCACGGGTTCCCGTAACCACTGCAAGAGCCCCATCCCTTTCTTCGGGACCCCCTGTCTTACCTGGCTATTTCCTACTCTTCCGTTCAAACGAAAAAGCTTCTCATAATACGTTCGAACGGCACTGTCAGAAAAAGATAGAGAGAAGGTTCAGCCACAAAAGCTCACGGCCACGACTAGCCTAACGCTCCCTTTCCTTGCTAAGTGGCTTCTCCTGTACACGCTAGGGTAACCTTGGGTAAACAGGGACAAAGTTGGCGCGAGAAGGCCAGCAAGCCAAAAAGTAAGGAACATGAGGAAAAAGAAACACGGCAACTACCTAGACAGTCGCATCGGTTGTGGGATCTTCAGCTAACGCCCCTTCGTTCCCGGCTCTTTTCTCTTCGCACTCCATTTCGATAGTTTCTATCTTTCAATAGATCTCTTCCACCCTAACATTCATATCCACTCTTTCAATGCATCGGAGTAGTGTAACCTGAAGGTAGAAGGCAATGCAGGACAAATGGTAGCGAGTCTGTCGCAAGACGACGTAGTCGCGGGGCTTCTGGTTGTTGGAGTTGTAGTAATAATTCATCAAAATATTCTCGCTAATATTTTGCTCTCGTTGTCTTTTTCTCTGGTGAATAACAATAGAAGAGGTTAGGCACAGGCCGAATGGTGGCGACTTCTCCAGTGGCCTGCGTGCGGGCGCCCGATGGAGAAGTAAAGAGCTGGCGATAGGCAGACTCAATAAAATGCACAGCCTCAAGGAATAGGCAGCAAAAAAGAACAGGAAAAAAATAACGGGACAGCCTAAGCGGACAAATCCAGCTGTGGATGGTGTTGAAATCATTGTCGCCGCTGTGGGTGGCCGCTATGTGTTCAATGCTGTTTTACCAGTAGCAGGAGCGCACTGTTAGCTGGCACAAGCAGGGCTCCCTTTTCGCTTGAGCATGTTCTCTCTAGAGGCAGTTAACACACTACAATTTGGTGCAGGATCACAGAGTTTTCTTGCGATTATGACTCGTTCACGTGTATACGTAGCACCGCTGGCCGTCTCGCGCCTTCGTACCCCCCACCCCAAGAGGTAACCCTCCCTGCTCTGGCGCAAGCATCGTACCCAGTAAAAAGCGATGAAGAAGGGAGGTCCATAGAAGAAGCTTTAATAACTGCTGAATGTACTTGTATATAAAGCTCCAACCACTGTGTTTTCAACTATATATATATATATATATCTCACGGACCGCCTTTGCACGTCAGCGGGTGCGCAGCCAGTGACGGTTTACGTCTTTCTGATTAATTCTCAGGGACGTCTCCATTTTTACACCATACATGAGGATACCTGGAGCGTGGGATACTGCCTACCTGGCTACAAATAACGTGCATAACCACATCCATGACACAAAATCAAGAGCCCGCGACAGCTAATTTGTAAGAAGACGCTTTGAGCTACTTGAACGAATAGGAGGTTGGCGGATATTTAAGCCTGCGGCACAGCTGGTGAATAGTTCAGCTAACGGTAAAAGAACAAGGGCCGTCATTTGTCGACAACGAGATGGTGAGACAAAGCTGCGGGAGAGACAAGTCAATGTCAGGTCTTTTTTGCATTGGCCTTGCATCATTGGCGCAAATGACGAGACCGGCCTAACGCATGAAATGGACTGGTCATTTAGGCCCTCCCAAGCGGCGAGAGACAGAAAGATGATAAGTACCGCTACGTCAAGCGCCTAAACTACGCCAGCGTGACTATTATTCAGCAATAAGAGCATGCAGCGTTGAAAAGTGCAACTGCACTGGTAGCAAAAAGAAACTCACACTGGACCACGTGCGGGTCCACCAATGGGGCACGAATCATTTCATCTTGTCATGCCGACGTCAACATGCGACGGGCGAATTGAGCGAGGCTTGCCACTTAAAGCGACAAACATGGTTGCTGGGAGTGGCAGTCTTTATCGGGGATAATAATGTCGTTTCGAACAAGGAACAGTCTTGTAAATGGCAAGCGAAGGGTCACATAAGGCGGGGGAAATAACTGAAACGAACTCAGTGTGGTGGCTTTAAGCGCGCTGGCTACAACTCCCGAACACTGCACGAACCCCACAACCCGGCAGCAGGACGTATCTTCGAGGGTGGCGGTCGGACCATGAAGAAGATCATGCGCAGTAAAGCTCGGCTCAACTCAATTGTCATTTCAGCACCCGTGGTAAAAGGTCAGCTTGGTGGTAACGAGATATAAGTCTGTACCCTGTTTCAGTTTACTCCGCATCTATTACGCGGTGCCCAGTGAGCTAGCAGAGATGAGGCGCAAACTTTGGATGTCAGCGAGCGGGACAAAAAGTCAGTTTGGCGTGCTTTGGGCTGGTACGTTACTGAGGTACACTTAAGGAGGCGCTTGCGCCAACATTTCGTGTGTGGAGCGGCAAACGGCGGGTGGTTGGTAGCAATCAAGTTTGATGGACACATGAGGTTTCCGCCAGCCGGTCTGCTGACAAAAATGAACCGGCCGTGATCCGTTCTTAAAGCTATAATGAATCAGGGGTAGGCAAAAAAACTGTCATTTTTAAAAGCTAATTCTTCTTAAATATCGTTTATGAAGATAAACAGGTTTTCGGTAGCCCTTCTCAGTACTGAATCAATGGCTATTGGAAAGGATTTTACACCACACATTTCAGGTAACCCCGATAAATTTAAGCAGGGCAGGTTGTTATTGGCCTTTTTGACTGTTTTTTACTTTTCCTAAAGCTATTGCCCATTCAATGGCAGTCGCTGCACTAATTTTCCATAGCTACAATAACGATGCATGGAATCGCGTCGCTTCTAAACTGGGTGCCAGTTAGTTTAGAGTGTCGCAAAAAGCCTATAGTATTTCCGACGTTAGCAGGAATACGATCGCCCGGTTAACAGACGGCATAACTGGTGGTACCCGCGCGCACAGTTATATTTTTGGACGAATTTTGAGCTGAATCGCTTATGGCAATGTCAGCGGTAGTCCAGCGTCGACAGACGTCTCGATCTATTCACAGTTACTATTAAAACCTGTTTACTCTAAGTAATAATGCAATTTCTAGCTTATCAATGGTATCAGAAAGAATGGTCTCCTGTTCTGATTTAGCATATACTTGACGCATTGTCATAGAGGAAGCGCTGCTTGGAAGATATGTTATTGCAACGGTTCTACCGACGAAAAGTAACGAGTAGGGGGTGCTATTTGCAAATCGTTTCTGTTCGTTCAATTGGATATTGGTTTAGAATACTACGAATACCGTTCGGGATCAAAATTTGTCAGTCAATATATTTCATATTCCTGGTGCAGGCTTAAGCAACATACAACTGTTACTTCTTACTTTGCAAGGTAAGATTAGTTCCGTAACAGAAAATAATATTTATAGTTAGAAAAAAAAAAAAAAAAGAGAGAGAGGTTACTAAACTTGTTTGAAGGATGGAACGCGCCTATTGCACGCTGTTTTTCTACCTGACTTGACGACAACTATAACTTATCGTATTGCCAGTGGTATGCCTTTTCATCCCGGCCAAATAGTATATAGAACACCAGTGAACAAAAGACATCCCAGACAAAACTAAAATGACTCTCGATAGCAGCTTAACGTTGGGTTCATTAATCTAATGTTTAATTTTTTCAACCTAAAGCAAAGAAAACTTCCTAGATGTACCTGTGCTCGACCCGGAAAGGGTTATCGTTTTAAGGCAAAAATAAGTTATATTATCAATTTGAATGACACTAGTCTCGGCTGGAGAACGCTGATTAACTGAGATAAAAGGTCATCAACTTCGAAGCCTTATGAGCGCTAGGGCACTGGCACATTGATGCCAAACCTCAATAGAAGACGCTTTTGGCGTGGCTTAAGTGAAGTTGTATATCGTTGTGCTTAACAAGACTTCGTCAGACCTCAGTCTTGATTCACCTCCTGATTTGCAGCTTGGATGCTAAAATCCAGAGACTTACGATCTGGGATTGCTAACCTCTCCTCTTTCTGTGGCGATAGGCTTAGTAAGACTGTTTTATATAAAAGTAATATTCTTCACGTTCGGCGGTGTAGGCTTAGCGTTTATCCTCTAGGTATATGCTACAACGTTTTCAACTAGTGCCTTTTTCCACGAACCTTATCAGTTTCTGATGTGAAATATCTGAGAAGTCGGTATGGCTGCTGTTTTTAACATTTTTTTTTTTTGTAGATTTGTTTCTATTGACTTCCAATAAATAACTACGTGTCCAGGCCACGGTTCGTTTTTTAATACCACTACAAAATAGGAATGACAATTAAGCATTGAACACAATCACACTGCTGAAACTAATTTTATTTTGAAATATGAAATAAAATATTGAGAACTGCACCCGAGCAAATGTCACATCGACATATAATTGTACAATTACCAAGAAGAATATGAAGACTTCAGCTTATTGCTATCGTATTAAAACCCTGTTAGACTGGACATTTCCCCTTCCGAAAATAGGTCAACAGTACTAAACATCGCATTTATGTATGACATGAAGCACTGTTTTTTTTTTCCATACAGTTTCCTCTATATGTTCCCCATAGAACCCGTGATTAATTAGAGCGTCAAAATCATAACACAGCTCACTAGGTAACACACAGTCAAGCCACACTATCCACAGTCAAGCCGCCCTAAATAAAAATCGATTCCGCTAAAATACAGTTTATTATTATTCGTGTGTGTTCGATAGCATAAACGCAAAAAAAAACTAGCCACTTATAAGCGCTTGTTGTAGAAATGGTCACATGGTAATAACGAAAATAATCATCCTATGTATATGCTCGTTGACCTACGTCGACAAATAGGCCTGGCAAATCGTAGACCTGGCCAGGCATTGCTTCTGCCGGCAGATAGCGAAAGAACTCAATATTGTTCTTGTACCATTTAACCGAATATAACGTTTCCGACTCAAGGTCATACTCGCAGAGCAATCTGACGTGTTCGCCACTCTGCACTGATCCCGGTACGAGCAGCGACGTTAAGCGCAGCCCTGAAAGCACGACACAACAAACGATTGATATTAGTAAACTGCTGCGTGTTTATTTGTTCATTTATGTAGTAATTTCGTTTACAAGATCATAATCAGCCCCAGTATTATGCCCCAACAAAAGTTATATAGACAATTTATCCAGTCGTTTGAATAAATTATAAAAGCTTAAAATATTTGAGTTTTCTTCCATTGTGTCTACTTGACTTGGTCGATTATTCATTTGAGGTAGTAGGGTCCAGTACGTTAGCTTTCACTGAAATACATATATTGTACTAAATGTAGCATTCCACTTTCCATATTGTTGTATGTATCCATCCTCTATATCGCGCAATATCTTCGTACTCGAGAGATTCCCAAGGTAAGGTACAGATTTCCTTTAATTTGGGATATTTATTGCGCTTCTGCCAGATATTAATTGTTAAATACGAGAATATTTGTTCGAAAATTGTTTCCACTTGGCAAAAGCATTAACTGCGAATCGAGGAGCGTGAATTTCCACTGCAAGACATCGATGGAACCCCAATTTCAGGCCATTTTCCTTTATTTTTTTTCCTTCGAGCGGATCCATTTGCTGTTGGATCGTGATAATCGACAAAGTCGATTAATCTTGCTTTAGTTTTCCTCTCCTAGTCTATATTGCCGTGCCCTACAAGACGTAGGGGTGGCTAGAGGAGCGATCGTTAGCCGTCGTTACCATGATCGAGTCTTTCCCGCGAAAGTGAACTTGAGAGTGATCCTTCAAATGAACATCTAAAAACGCATGTAGACTCAATACATATAAGGTACGGTCGTTTGTTAGTGCTATTTATTTGTATGACAACTCTCCAGAACTTTGAACAGAAACAGCTAATATCAAGATAGCGCGATAACTGTAGCTGGCGATTCGTCAGGACCGTGCTCAATTTTCGCCGCGTTTATATGCGGTATACCGGCAAGAATTGTTCTGGCTTCACGTTCTAACTACAAATACTTTTCCTTAAGCTCAAGACAAGATATAGGTTTTTCTATATTTCGTTTTTCAGAAGTTGAACATGCTGCTCCATATACGCATCAGCTTGGCATGCCTGGCATACCACGATACCCTCACCTCACTTGTTTCATCGTAAATTTCAACGCGCTTCATTCAACATCGGATAGTATAGCTACAGTATCTGTGCCGGCCATCCTTCTTTTACCCGGCTCATTTTTGTACATAGACGCATCGCTATGCTTTCTGCTCAATAAAAAGTCGCCACCCCGCGCCATGCCAAGAAAGACACTGTAGGCCATTGCGTGCATTTTGGGTGCACCGACCTACACACGCCCCCTCTGTGTATTCCCATTGCCCAATGGTCGTATGTATTTCCATTGGTGTCGTTCACCTCGTGCCGCTGCCCTATCCAGCCACTCATCTCAACAGCGCTTGTTCACCTTTCCGCCGTGCGAGAATACACGAACCATAGCAATCCGGAGCTGAGACCCCACCTATGCACTTCCTGCTCTGTTGTTCCGCAGGCTTCCTACAATCGGGCGGCTTCTACTGATACATCCTCAACCGCAAGCATTTACACATCCCGCCATAAGGTTGCCGCTCGGATACACTTTGGACTTCGCTATCCTGCAGCAGGATAACCGCAGGATCGTGATGGTTGCGAGGGCGTTCGCCAGCTCAGGAGCCGAAGTAATCATCCGCCATAGACTTCAATACTTGCTGCTCCTGCTACTCCCCACCTGACTCTAGTACCGGCCTGAAGAAGCGAAGAGTAGATCCATATCCTCAACGCCCGAGCAGTGTCCCTCCGCACGGACAGCACTTGTGCTCCTTTCGCTCAAGACGTCCATGCCTTTTCAGGGGTTACGCCGTCAGGGAGGGGGTGTCTGGGTGATGGACGCAGCCCGGGAACCCGTAGGGGCGAAAAAATGCTTTGCAAATTTTGCTCGTGTTTGCGTCCGCCACCGTTGCTTCCCCTCCTCCCCCAGCCCGTCGGCCCCTTATCCTTAAACTATTTGTTCACTTTATTAGCCGCGGTCACGCGACGCCAACATCGAAGCGAGCCCTCGCCTTCATCCAAGTCACCCAACGACGAAGTGGGTACGCTCGTCGTCGTTGTTGAAAGAACTGCCACGATAGAATAAACGAACGAGGATAAACGAGAGCGATGAACCGGTAAAAGCGGGTAAGGAAGAGTGCCTAGAACAAAGTCGCTCGCGGACGCTCGATGATTCAGCAGCGCGAGTAAAATAAGCAACAGCACAACGAAGCGCTGTGGCATCATGGATGGACCGATAGGCGTTAGCCTGCGATGGTTGAACAGCGATGGCATGAATAACATAAGCAATTGCGTTTAAATATGACCAGCCATAAGGGTACTTACCCCTATTTAGTAGGCTAGCTCCGATCAAAGTAGAGGTACATCATAGTGTTCTTATGGATTGAAATGAGATAGCCATTTAAGCACTAGTAATTTAAGAAAGGAAATTAATTCGTCGTTAGTTGTAGTCATAATTACGTGCACTGAAGTTAATTGAAATGTGTTTTAATGATGCAGAAATTAGAACTGTCGTACGGGCAGAAGAGAGGTTGTCTCACTGATTATTTGCTCATTGACAAGTCTTCTGCAAGAGGTTTAAGTAACTAAGATACATTTTTGCAAAACCTCCCAAATATGAGCTGACCTTATTTTTACCTTCTATATTGAACACTTACCTAAAGACTTGGTCACAGGTGTGTAAATTATAATTTTAAAGATATTTTCAGTTTTGCTATCAATAAAGGGATACGAATTTTCTGTATATATATATATATATATATTTTTTTTTTTTGTTAGATAAATTTTTTCATGAAAATTTTTACATGAACAGTTTGATGGAAACAATTGTGACAAATTTTTTTAGTGAATTTCGTTTGCTAAGACGTAAATTAGACCTTTTTGCTAAATACCAAATGATCATCTCATATAACCTCAATAACTAGGATAGGTAGGTCTTATCTAACTGTCTATTAAACGATAGAGAATTGATCAGTTATGGCTAGCCAAATATATTAATTATTGACATCTAGGTACATCAATATCGTACATAGACATATGCATTATTTCTGACTAATTGTTATTTTAAACAGTTTACATCGCTCCTCTCGGCTTCTTATTATTAAAGGTACTTGTCATATTAGCAATAAACAAGTCACTGAAGTATTTCAAGGAACAGACTTCAGCAAGGACCCTAATAAGCCTTAGTAGTATTTTAAATATACTCGAAATTTAATAGTAAATAATAAATTAGATAACGAACGGAATTCCGCGAAATACTCGCGTTTCTTTTAGACATAGTGACAGCCAAGCTCGCATAACAATGCTTGCGTCTAAGTGGCTTCTAGTACGCTAAACTGGTGTAGGTAGTTGTGAACGTAAAATAGAAAGAGCGAACCAATACGACACCGTCTCGCCAAAATTTTGATACGATACTGCGGCGGGATAATTCAAAGTATATGTAATGAGTAATCTCATGCACGTTACATAGAATCAACTAACCAAAAACAAATATCGTTCGTTGTGTAAAACGATTTTAAGTGGTTGAGAGGCTAATCCTTCACAAGCCTTGGTTTCGTCTGCTTTACTTTATAGGTGTAGAAAGTAAAATATGGCTACGATAAGGATCACACGAATGCATATGGACGCAGATGCTGACTTTAATCTTGAACGCAATTTATATAATCATGAATACACAAGAAGCATATACCGTCTAGGAACTGTCGCAGGAAGGGTAACGCGTTAATTCACAATCGTATCTGTAACTGCTGTTTCTCTCCCTCTTTTTTATTTAACGCTCCTTGTTATTTTTCCAGTATGAGCTAGTCCTCACCATCATCTCTTCGATACACAATCAAGGACCTGTCTTCGCTAGAAAGCTTAGCTGGAATAAGCTTCGTTAAACCTATCTGAGACGTCTTCAACAAATTTATGGTGTGATTTCCATGGCAACCATTTGCCGAAGCCGAAATTCGAACGAGCGATGCTTACGTGGTTACCATGGTAACAAAGTGAAAGAAATAGGCATTGACCACCAAGATCAAGCAGAACATGCTTACACCGAGTTCGAATCGGGAACTCTTACTGGAGCCCCCAACCAGATATTAGTTAGCACTCACGATAGCAATTTTCACCTGACACATACTCAGATAAATAGAAGCGAGTTTCACAAAATTTTCACTTACACTCACTTGTTAGTATAAATTTCATCTGCAACCCTAAAATGGGCATTAAGCAAAAAGTCAGCTGTTTTTTAGCAAATATTTTATTCAATACCGCAGCGTCGTGCACCAGCGTGCATGTATGTGCGTTTTTCTGTGCATTTTCCCGTGTGTATATCGGTTTGCTATGCTATCGTATTGAGACAATATCGTACGCGAGAAGAACATACCATTTCAATGCGACAGTTCGGACGAGAGCCGCTTATTGCTGGTTGAAACTTTGTCGTCCGTGACTGATAATTGCCTAGCGACCGCACGAACTAGATGCGCAAAGACCGTTTCCGCGGCCATGATTCGCAGGGCAGTACCAAGTGATTTTCGGAGTTCTCTGCCATCACCGCCTAGCGAAGTCCACCCTTGGGCTGGCATAGAGGGCTTCGTGCTGCCCCTTGCAAATGGGACACCATACGAATTACTGAGTTCGAAAAGCACTCGCGAAACTGTCCTCAGCTGGGAGAATAGCAACGAGATCGCTGAGCACTTGAAGAGTATTGGAACAAGCTCTCTTTCATGTAGTTATGGTGGTGTTGGAAAACGGCCTGGCAATGGTGATGGGAAAAGCGCGAACTTTTAAAAGGCACATTTACTCGGACATACTTCCGCTGCCCCCGTCGCTACCGCTGCCTTTTTGGCAGTTGGTGGGTCATGAGGCTACACACCCATAGAAGCACACACATGCCGGCCACTACATGTGTATTTCTGTAAGTGGACCCATCGGTTTCGAAGCTTTCTCACTGGAACTGGGCAGTTCACGAGCTGGTACTGGCGGAAC